AAAACTATTCCTCGATTTGATACTCCTTGTGAGCTGTAGACTTGCAGCAGAAGAACAAAAATATAAATTATATTGCAAAAGTTTGTAAATTACAAGGACATGTTGACACAACATTTCCTCAGTCTTTTTCTATTTTACTACCTTGTTGTCTAACCTCTGTGCTTTCTAACATTATCGCACTATCAGTTTTTCCATCTGTTCATTACTCTTGAATATTTCTTGTCCTTCACTTTTGAACATCTCTCACCTTTTTTTTTGGGTTTATTCTATCTCAAATGAATATTGTCTTCCACCTCTCCATTCTCAATTGGTTATGCTTCTAGATGAAGTACTAGTACTTGGTAAAATGCAGAAGTTTTTATCAAATAATTTCTAATGTGATTATTACACTATTTTATTGATAAATTACGATATAATCAAGGTGATTGCAATTAATCTGCAATTCACTGGGGACAAAATTGTGAAAGTAAATTTGGTGCAACTGATTGTAAGTTTTTTCACAAAACAAGTAACTTTTATAATTTATGTAACTTGCTATCTAAATATTAAACCTTACTGGATTTTTCTAGCTAAAATTACCTTCTTCTTTTTTTTCAAAAACTCAGGATTTTTTTATACAAAACATACTATTTTTCAAGAAAAACTTATGACTTCATTAACAAATCTTACCACTTTTTTAGTAAAATTTACTATATCATTAACAAGACTTTTCTATTTTTCAAACGAAACTTCCTATTTTTTGTACAAAACTTCCAACTTTTCAAACAAAATTTATGACTTTGTTAATAAATTTTAACATTTTTTCACGTACAGTATATTAGTAAAGATCTAAATAATGATAAGCTTGGTTACTGCTGCCAGATGGGAATTGGCTGGAGACTTGAATAAGAACTGAATAAGAAGAGTAGCAGTAAACACGAATAAATACCAAGAAGATGCCCCATTGGATGTTTTTTTGGATGTTTTTTGGTACCCCAGATGGGTGGTTCATTTAATTAAATGCTAGTAGAAATTGCTGATAAAGACGACTACATGAAAGTCTTCATGGAAAGTTGATAGCTTGCTCTCGAGAGTGATGTATATATTTCGTTTTTCATAAGAATTATCAGTATGAACCAGTCCGTCGACGACTTGGGACAGGAATCGTTGTCAGGTTAACTGTCTTGAACGATTTCTGTTAATATATTGAATAATAAGTTAGGTCGTCAATGAAAGTCCCGATACTCTGTGGAAAATCTGTTATGTTTTGTGGGGGAAAAAAAAATCCTTGGAGACCAATTCTAGATTCAATTAATGGAAACGTTCATTCCCTATCAGTTGGTTGATTTACAAATTTATGGTACCACAGAACTTCCACCCTCTTTTTTGCAATTTAAATTAATGTAAAATGTTTGATAGAAAATCACCAAACCAATTGAAAATTTGTCAAATGGGAATAACAAATATTTTTTGGGGTTTGAACCATTTTCATCTTTAAAGTTTCCTTGAAGACATATTTAGACCTAACAGTTTCAAATTTTCATCAACTCTATATAGTTGACGACAAATCAAATAATTTGGATACCAAAAAAAAGAGCTTGGCAAATAATGAATTAAGTTTTTGTACACTATTAGTGTAAATATTTTTTACACTAGCAGTTGTAGATGTATGCTACCTTTGAAAAAACGGAATTTCAAATTTAAAATTAAATTATATGGCATATATCCAATACAACTCATGTATATATTGATAGTGCATAAAAAAATTACACCTTATCTAAAGTATCTTTAATCGTTGGTCTCATTTTTTTTTTCATTTAGTCCTTTTCCTTTTTCTCGAACACAAAGTAGTCTTTATTAATAATTTTAGTTTTTCATGTATATATTTTTTGTTTTCAAGTTCTTCAACAATTCCTTCCACTACGGATTGGGTTACCAAATTAAATTTCATCAAAAAGGTTTCGGTACCTCTGGCCTAATACCCTCCTCCTCCTTATTCATATTAATTCTTGGGCTTGGATAATTGAAGAACTACAGCGAATAATATGCATCGATAAATTATTTATTTATATAAATGCAAGATTTTTGTTTAGTGGATTATAATTTATAGCTTTTTTGTTTCCCTGGCCAGTCATGCAAGTAAACCTTTTTTTTTTGGGTCCAAGTAAACGATTAAGTTTTTACCTAATGACAACATAGGCAAAGCAATCTACTTAAGATGCAAATCTATTATGATTAAACAACCTCAAGAGCTAATTCCTAATTTAATGTAATTGCCAATCCCTTGTGTTCTTGACGTGCTGGGAGGGTCTGGGTCTGGTCGTGAGTCGTGACTCAGCATCGGAAATTCTTACGCCCGAGGAATGTTTATTAAACAAATTTGGTTTTAAGAAAAAAGATTCTCACTCCGTACTTTTCTGAATAATTTCTGTGATATTTCAAAACAATTGCCAAAATTTTTTAAAAAAATTTTAATAGTTGATTTGGTTATGAATATTATTGAAGGTATTCAACATAGAAGTGGATATTATGGGCTGATGGCGTACAGGTTTTTATGGGCTGATAGCGTACAGGTTTTGGATTCCTGCAGTATCCTTTTCAACATGTGCCTTTGTATTATGATAGTAGTAATACGGATGGAATTGTTAGCGATGGCCCCAGTGGTAGAAAAAAAAGAGTATTTTCTATTACTTTTATTTTTGGATTTCAACAGTGCCTTTGTATTATGAGAATTTTCTATTACTTTTATTGTTGTTGCCCTGTGATAGTGGTAATAGAGGCAACCTTGGTGGTGGTTGTGGAGGTAGAAAAATGGTAGTGTTCGTGAATTTTGGTGGCAGAGAGAATAACATAAGATAACTTTTTTTTTTTTTTTAAAAAAAAAGAATGGTAATTTAGAATTTTTATGTGAAATTTGTTGTCTTTTCAAAGATTTTGTTAGCAAAATAATAAATACAAGAGTGGTTAGCATAATTGTTGAATTTAGAGGGGCGCTAGGTGAAATTTTCAGAAATCTTAGAACAAGTTTCAAAAAATTTCTCTCCTTTTATTCACTCACTCTATTCTTTTAATATTCTTTTAATATTTCCACTTGAACATCTCATTTTTCCAATAGTCTCCCTCTACTTTAATTGTGTTGTTCGTAGTTATCCTTATAACTGGAAATTCAGTGCAAAAGGTGACAATTGAAAGACAAAAACAATATATTCTAGAGTAGAAATCTGGCATTATATATATGTTAGCCTATTTGAAAAGCTGAGAGACCAACATTGCAGTTTTCTAATTTCTAAGGAACTTGTATGCCAGTAACAAATAGAAATACTGGGTATTGTTTGTCAAAAGAATTTGCAGAAACACCAACGTTGTGGTGTTAAAGTAAAGACCAAAACATCAATGTTCTGAGTCGCTTTTTACAGGTGAACTCAATTAAAATCCTCATTTGGCTTTGAAGTAAGTGCTCATTAGGGAATGGCCGCAATTGACTTTAGATGATTTGCAGATAAACCGCCAACTACTGATTTGGAATATTTTCTGGAATTTCAGGCCCATGAATTTTGGGCTCTATTTTACCGGAATCTGTTGTTTGGCCCAACATGCACAAGGCTCCACATAATCCTACTCTACATTCCACTTCACCAACCCTAAGCTCTGTGTCAATGATACTCTTTTTCCGATGACTGAGAAACTCAGACTTTTTCGTTACTAAAGTTGACCTGCGAGAAACCTTCAAAAGCCGGCAACTTTTGAAGGCTCCCGCAGACCTTAATAAACCCAAACCCCAAACCCCCCCGAACCGATGTGGGATAGAAACCCCACAGGGGTGTCAATGATACTCAGGTAAGCATTTTGTCCTGCTCTTTAATTAATTACTGGAGATAGATAGAAAAAACGGTAGCCCATGTAAAAGTAGAAAATTTGTCTGGTTCATACTAGTATGTGTAATTATTAGAATCACTGGTTGAGGCACGCCCTATGTGTGCGTATACTTTAGGAAAAAGTAATTAATGAAAAAGATATAGAATAACAAACTAGTAAGAGCAAAAGAATTAATTATAGAGTATTGGGATTTTTTAAATTGAAGTTAGCAGGAAGACTTCGATATATATGTGTGTGTATATATATATATATATATATATATATATATATATATATATATATATATATATATATATATATATGGTAGCAGTGGATAAGTTCCGATAAGTACGGAACTTAAAAGTAGCAGTTATGTCAACATGGACAGTATGGAGTATGAGATGACAATATAATACTTCATCATGCAAGGAGAAAATTGGAATAACAAAAAATGACAAAAAATTTTTTAACACAAATTATAACTATTTGGCAAAAAACTCCTGAAAATACTTGCAAAACCTCTAATATTAAATTGCGCATAATTAGCAACATAATTTTAGAGTAATTACATTTGATCAAAAGTGATACAATCTCTCGTTACTAGAAGAAGGGAGGGATGGATAAGGGAGAAAGAAATATAAATAAGAAATCTTGGATTCAAGACTTTCTACTTACATTAAAAAAAACATTGAAAATAAAACAAAATAAGAAAATCTCTAGTTATTATGTTTGATCAAACAATGTTACAATGGCACAACAGCGTAATTTGTTTAGGATGGGAAGTTTTGAAGAAGTTGACGGTAGTTTTTCTCTCTTCTCTGCTTTTGTAGATAGAAAAGCGTATTTTAGGAAAATCGAATCAATATTTTGCTAAGCACATTTGGGTTTGTTTATGTAAGCATTAAAATATGAGAGCTAAGTGTAATTCTCAATGCCTATTGCTAGCTTTTGCAATTATGTTATACCTCATAGGGTTTATGTGAAATTAATTTCATAGAATAATACTTTTGTATAAAATTCTGTGGATCTTTGCACCTATTCAGTGCAATTGATTTGCAGAAAAATGTGAGAAAGTCACTTAAGTAGTTCTTGAGTTAGTTATGGCAAAAAAAGTCCTGGCCAGAAACAACGACGATGTTGAAGTTGACAATTGTTCATAGAAGAAAAGAAAACCAGAAAACAGAAATCAAGAGCCAAGAATGGGACTCTTCACCTACACCATAACCGGTGGCGGTTTCATGTTGATCGGTGCCTGGGAATTGTTCGTATCTTCCTCTGAGTGTATCCAAAATACGCCACTATCTCCGCCCCTTACCAGCCATCGCGCCATTTCGGCTATTAACAACAGCAGCACTCAAACGAAAAAGGCCCCTCTTTCTTCATCATCGGTAACATGCTTATCAATCTCCGTCCTTTTTTTCCTCTTCATTCTAAACTCTCTCATCTCCATCTCCGACGCCCTCAACTCCAAAGACCACGTCAGTTTCGCCTTCCAGTTAGAGGTAATCGCAATTGCTCTCCTTTTTTCCTCTACTCAACTCTGGGTCTCTGAGCGCATGTCAAGATTTCGTTTCAATTTCCTTCGGCGATCCTCAATATGCTGCTTCTTTTCGCTTTCGGAGAAGAAATTTTGTTCTTTTACGTTAGAAGAAAGGACCCCAGGGGGGTAGAAAACCGATACTACGACCTCTTCCTCGTGCCAATAGGCATTTGTCTGTTTTGTACTATTCTAGAACTGAAAAGTCCGAAATCGAATAATGCAAGATTGGGACGCGGGGTTGGACTGGTTTTACAGGGTATGTGGATAGGTAAGATGGGATTCAGTTTCTTGATCAACCCAAAAAAAAAAGAAAAAAAAAACCCAATACTGATGTCTATATATGCACATCGTGAATCCGTATAAACATGAAACATAAAGACATTTTGTTCGTTATCTAGCCAATAGGTCCAGCCGTGCAACCCACTAAGCTATATGCAAGAGGGCACAAGTTTAGAAACCTGTATCCTGATCTACTCTTGTCTACCAAGTGAGGCAGAGATGAACAGTGTACCATTAAAGAAAGCAAAATGAAATACACTACTGCAACCATCCCAAATAAACCTGGTTCATCAAATCAAGGGTTCAACAACTTTGATATCATCTAACAGCAGATTCCAGCGGGCCTCGTAATGCTGATAATTGATGTGTCCATCTCTCTAGTCTCTACAGCCAAAATGATGACCACATTCTAAGCTACTTCTAGTTTTGAGCACCTTTAGAACCTTCCATCACCCCTTTGCCACCCTCACGAATGCTTGAGTAACTCAATGATACTGATTTTGCACTCTTTCGCTCTTCATTCTTTGAGCTGCTCAGTGTAAGAAGGACAAGTTAGACGAGGAATTACATATGAAAATATGAGCCAAGTACATTTAATATGTTGTCTGATTGAGCAGACCTAATTGCATATTTCCTACTTCCAAGTACATTCAGATGTTACTAACTGATGATCTTTTCTCCTTCCACCCTTATCACTGAAGTGGAAGTCCTTCAAAAGGTGACTTATTGCCACAGATCACAAACCAAATCATAAATTCTAGTATTAGCAGGAACCACAAATAAATCATAATTAACCACTATAAAAGATTCATCATGGCTAATAATCAGGAACATCAAACAATCATTGCAATTCTTCAAGTCAATTCATGGTTTACGTTAATAACATAAACACAAACAGGAGCAAAAATGTCCTGAAACACTATAATTGCAACTTTAAAAAAAATTATAACCGAACTCACAATGCAGATCAATATCCTCTTCACCAGCTAACCCAAAAAAATAAAAAATAAAAAGATTCCGTCGTTGCATTTATCCAAACTCTATGTCACAAACAATTTAACAAATGAGCTAATTTAAGCTATTCACTTAACAAAACTAAGATCCAAATATCTACCTCGTCAATGAGTACCATAACCATTGACTTCTGATGCAGGCACTGCTACAATAGCCTTCTGCATTTCCACACTCCTCACCTCTTTAATCCCATTCTGATCAGCATCATCAAGATCATCATCAGAATCCAAAGTAAACTGAGGCTGACCATCCAAATGCTGAATCTCAGCTCCAAGCGGCCTATACTGCAACAAATCACGCCTAATCCCATGCTTCTTGCGGACAATTCCATACACCACAACACTCAAAGTCACTAGAAGTGCAAGATGGCAATTAAACTGAAGCATAGCGATCGCTCGACCACGATGATACTCAGGGTGCCCTTTACACTTAATCGTATAGTTTCCTCTACTCTTCCCCTGCAAAGAGCATACGTGTACCATCATCAAATCGGAGAAAAACGAGAAACCCATTTGGACTATCCACATACCTTGTAAAACCAGTCCAACCCCGCGTCCCAATCTTGCATAATTGGATTTCGGACTTTTCAGTTCTAGAATAGTACAAAACAGACAAATGCCTATTGGCACGAGGAAGAGATCGTAGTATCAGTTTTCTACCGCCTGGGGTCCTTTCTTCTAACGTAAAAGAACAAAAATTCTTCGCCCAAAGCGAAAAGAAGCAGCATATTGAGGATCGCCGAAGGAAATTGAAACGAAATCTTGACATGCGCGAAGAGACCCAGAGTTGAGTAGAGGAAAAAAAGGAGAGCAAATGCGATTACCTCTAACTGGAAGGCGAAACCGACGTGGTCTTTGGAGTTGAGAGCGTCGGAGATGAAGATGAGAGAGTTTAGAATGAAGAAGAAAGAAAGGACGGAGATTGATATGCATGTTACAGATGATGAAGAAAGAGGGGCCTTTTTCGTTTGAGTGCTGCTGTTGTTAATAGCTGAAATGGCGCGAGGGCTGGTAAGGGGCGGAGATAGTGGCGTATTTTGGATACATTCAGAGGAAGATACGAACGATTCCCAAGCACCGATCAAGATGAAACCGCCACCGGCTATGGTGTAGGTGAAGAGTCCCATTCTTGGCTCTTGATTTCTGTTTTCTGGTTTTCTTTTCTTCTCTTTATCCTCAGGTGAGTAGTCTTCAATGCAATCATTACCCAGATTTTCTCAAAGCCACTTTCTATAAACTTGAAGTATGAATAGCGCCATGATTTCTTGAAGAGAAGGATTCCCAAAACTCTCAAGAGCCCGACAGCAAACCCCGGTCCTATACCAGCATAAAACCAAGACCAATCAGACTTTGCTGTGGCCTTTATCATCATGAGTAGGCCCATTTTTTGTAGACAACTTGTGTTCCGAGAAGTTGATTTGGAGCGGTTTGCCACAAAGTCCACTATTTCCTTCATAGATAGATGGATCGGTCAAGGTCTGAAGTTGATTTCCTACAGGTATTGGCCCTGAAAGTTTATTGTGTGACAAATTCAGGGAGTTCAATGAGTACAAATCAGATAAGCTTTCGGGGAGATAGATCAAGTGCTTCAAGTTGCCGATCTTCTCGGCGATCCTTCCAGTCAAATGATTGTGAAAGATTCAAAAATTTCAATTGATCGAGTTCCATTATCTCATCAGGGATCTCGCCAACGCTATAATCTCCTTCTTGGCCTGATACCATGGTATTAATGTTATTAGAGCAGTGAGGAATAAATCTACTCAAGTTATTATGTGCTAAGTTCAGCACTCGAAGATGTAAGAGTTGGTAGAGCGTATCAGAAATAGCTCCATGGAAGTTATTTGACTAAAAGCTTAGACACATTAAATTTGTTAACCTTTCCCCAATCCAAGCTGTTATAATATCCTTTAGTCCATTGTCGCCGAGATCAAGAATTTGCAAATTTCATGGGAATAAAAACATATGTGCATAATATACATACATATTAGTACCGTGTGTGTGATGCATGTGAATAAAAACATATTTTATAGTATGTGTATAATACCTTCCCATGAACAACAATTTTCTCCAATCCAAAATAACAGTCAATTTGATTCATCTATCAACCTATACTTGAATTGAAGAAGAGCTTGTTGTTCATTCTCAATACAAGAGACATTCGAATAATTATGAGCTTGTTTGCTGCTGCCAAATGTGAATTGGCTGGTTACAGGAATAGAACTGAATAAGAAGAGTAGTAGTGAACATGAAGTAGTACAAAGAAGATGATGCTCCATTGGATTTCTTTGGTATTATTGGTTTATTTGATATAGTTATCTCAGATGAGTGGCCTCATTTATACACTTACAAAAAGCATCACTTCACCATTTTGTGTTTGTGGGAAGTAGAATGGAACCATACAAAGATGATAAAGGACGACGGCTTCAAGTCCTCGTGGAAAAAATGTGGTGGAGGGGAAAGACAGCGTGGAAAATCCTTGCGTGCTTGTGAGGAAAATCTTTGGTGACATACAAATGGAAATATTAATTCATTTTATTTTTGGATTTTAATTTAATTTGGATACCGACGTTACCATAAAAACTCAATCCTAATTAAGTTTTGTTATTCTTATGAACTACTGATCGGAGCACACTATATATATGCGTAAATAATTCAAGTTATATTTAATTGTAAAAATTAGTTTTCTGGAAATTAGTTTTACATTTTGAGAATTCATGTTTTATGAAATTTTGTGTGAAAACAATATACATGAGCAGTTTTTTGTTAGTTATCATTAACTGTAAGCATTAGCAATACAACTCAAATTTCCACATAAAACGAGAAAAAGTAATTTTTTGAGAATTTCAAATGCGCATTTAAAATTTTAAGAAGCATAGAAAACCTTAAAAAACAACGTTCAAGATCTTGACGGGCAACATATAACGTTCCAAGTTGGGTACAAAATTGGCGGATGTGTCTAAGTCCACTCGTCAATGGAAGTCGTGACCCACCGTGAAAAATTTTTATTTTCTTGTGGACAAAATCCTTAGAGAATATTTTGTACCGGATTAATGGAAATTTTGATTCTCTATCAGTTGTTTGCAATCTAAATTAATTTTAAAATGTTTGACTTAAAATCTCCAAACCTATTGAAAATTTGTCACAAATCCTAAATTTAATAGGTCTATGTTAAAGAAGCATGAAGGACGCGCGGTAGTCTGCATTGCATGTTGGATAGTTACAAAAAAAAAAAAAAAAAAGGTGCACATTTATCAAAAAAGTTTTGTTTGTTTTTATGTACTTGTTCATTATCAAAATTTGATCTTTCAAAAGTTTATGTACTTGAATAAGAGGTTTGAGCATTCAAAAAACCTTTTATATGTAAAGTGAATTATATATAGTGCGACAAACAGCAAGTATGGAACTCCTTTTTTAGTCTTTTTTTGAGCTAATCTATATTTCTTTCTCCAATAAAGACATTCTTTGACATTAATGTGGCATCATAAAGTTTTTCATAAGTAAAACATTTTAGTGGCTTTTAAATTATAAAGAAGATGAAGCTCAAGAAAAAAAAAAAGAATAGACCAACAACCTAGAATGCAAATATCAAACCAAGAAAAGGACAAACAAAAATTCCTAAATTCATAGCATCCAATATCAAGACGTCCACCGTCCACATATAGCGTTTCAAAGGGGTTAGAATAGTAGGTTTGGCGTTCCAATACTTTCACTTGTCAAATTTTATGATCTGTTCATGTCTGCAATTATATGGGAAAAGTCTCCAATTGGGTGAAGATTCTCTGCAATTCATCTAATTCATGGAAGCTAAATGGACACATGTTGTTTTGATGGATACATAATTATAAGAGATAATTGCAGAAACCTCCCCTGAGATTTCTGACATTTGCACTGACCTCCCCTGTAGGTTTAGAAATTGCATTCACCTCCTCTGAACAGTAACAATTTGTTGCAGAAACCTCCCTGACAGCTTTTGTAGATGTGAGATAAGAAATTTCTTCCAATTTTGCCCTCTTCTTGCTTGACAATTATTATTTGCTTGACAATTGCTTAACTAATTATCTAATTAGTTAATAGTTAAACTAATTAACTATTAACTAATTATCTGATTAATTATTAACTAATTAACTAATTATCTAATTAATTAATTAACTAATTAACTAATTTCTATTTTTCTAATTAGCTGTTTAACTAATTAACTAAAGCTATTGTCTGTCCGAAACTAACAAACTATTTGCATGTTAAACTAATTAACTAATTAACTGCTTAACTAATCAACTAATTAACTAACTAACAAATTAACAGACTATTTGCATGTTAAACTATATGTAGTACGCATTACCTATTTACAGTATCGGCTCTTTATGGGTATTTTACTTTCAAACATTTAATTTATGATAAAAACATCAATGTTTGTAAGTAAAATTCAAAAAGTGTTACAGTAATATTCTTACAAAAAGGGAGGAGCATATGGCCATAAATTAAATGTTTGAAAGTAAGAATATTGATATCTTTTGTAACACTTTTTGAATTTTACTTACAAACATTGATATTTTCATCATAAATTAAATGTTTGAAAGTAAAATACCTATAAAGAGCCGATACTTTAAATAGGTAATGCGCACTGCATATAGTTTAACATGCAAATAGTTTGTTAATTAGTTAGTTAATTAATTAGTTAATTAGTTAAGTAGTTAATTAGTTAATTAGTTTAACATGCAAATAGTTTGTTAGTTTCGGACAGACAATAGCTTTAGTTAATTAGTTAATTAGATAAATAGAAATTAGTTAATTAGTTAATTAATTAATTAGATAATTAGTTAGTTAATTAGTTTACTGAATGGGCTGCAATTGCTGGCCCCTTGTAGTTGGCAAAGTTTTACTAGCTATTGCGGGAAGCTGTTGAGGTCTTTGATGAGAGCTGTGGTGGCGCACAGAATGCCTTGGGGGCCTTATTTATCATGTTCTAATGGAATAAAGGTAGAATGAATCATGTGCCTTGCATGTTCCTTGCTTTGAATATGGTTTTATCCAGTGAAGTTTGTGAGAGGTTGGAAATTTCAAGTGATCTGCAGGTAAGCTTGTTAGGCTTGCAAAGCTCACTGAAGTGAGATGTAGCCAAAACTTTCGGTTAGGGGGGCGAGAAATCAAGTGCATGGCAATATAAGAAAAATGAAGTAGAGAAAGTATGCAAATAGTTTGTTAGTTTCGGATAGACAATAGCTTTAGTTAATTAGTTAATTAGATAAACAGAAATTAGTTAATTAGTTAATTAATTAATTAGCTAATTAGTTAGTTAATTAGTTAAGTAGTTAATTAGTTAATTAGTTTAACATGCAAAAAGTTCGTTAGTTTCGGACAGACAACAGCTTTAGTTAATTAGTTACGCATGCAAATAGTTTGTTAGTTTCGGATAGACAACAACTTTAGTTAATTAGTTAATTAGATAATTAGATAATTAGTTAATTAGATAAACAAAAATTAGTTAATTAATTAATTGGATAATTAGTTAGTTAATTAGTTTAACATGCAAATAGTTTGTTAGTTTAGGATAGACAACAACTTTAGTTAATTAGTTAATTAGATAAACAAAAATTAGTTAATTAATTAATTAGATAATTAGGTAGTTAATTAGTTAAGCAGCTAATTAGTTAATTAGTTTAACATGCAAATAGTTTATTAGTTTCGGACAGACAACAACTTTAGTTAATTAGTTAATTAGTTAATTAGTTAATTAGATAAATAGAGATTAGTTAATTAGATAAACAGAAATTAGTTAATTAATTAATTAATTAATTAGATAATTAGTTAATTAGTTAATAGTTAATTAGATAATTAGTTAATAGTTAATTAGTTTAATTATGCAGAAATAGTTTGATTAGTTAATAACTATTAACAATTAGATAATTAGTTAATTAGTTAATAGTTAATTAGATAATTAGTTATTAATTAATTAGATTATTAGTTAATTAGTTAAACTATGCAGAAATAGTTAACTTAGTGTAATTTTTATTAACAAATGTTTTGTTGGGTTTGATGAAAGTACTCATCACATTCATTTGGTAAAATTAAATCATGTCAGGGATACTTTAGTAAATTGATCCACTTTTGCATATTAAATTGTCTCCAACTTTTGATAGGAGAGGTCAGTGCTATTTCAATATTGATAGGGGAGGTCAATGCTATTATTATAAAAGTCAGGGGAGGTTTCTGCAATTATCCCTAATTATAAATGAGTGAGGTCATTCTAATAATAAATGAGTGGCTAATATGATGCCACATATAGGCTTTATCCTGCTATCACACGTTTCGATAGGGACAACTGATAGGGAGTGAACATTTCCATTAATTGAATCTGGAATATGCCTCCAAGGATTTTTTTCCACAACGTATGGGGACTTTCATTGACTAACCAAACTTGTTATTTAGTATATTAACAAACACCGTTTAAGACGGTTAACCTAACATCTGTCTCGATCCCAACTTATCGATGGACTAGTTCATAGTGATAATTCTGATGAAAAACAAAATATATACATCGCTCCAGAGCAAGTGATCAACTTTCTATGAAGACTTTTAGACAGTCGTCCTGATCAGCAATTTCTACTAGCATCTAAATGAACTACCCATTTGAGCTAGCTTTATCAAATACCCAGTAAAAAAAACATCCAAAGGCTCATCTTCTTGGTATTTATTCATCTTTACTACAGCTGTTTTTATTCAGTTCTATTCAAGTCTCCAGCCAATTCCTGTTTGGCAGTAGTAATCAATCTTATCATTATTTAGATCTTTACTGGTATATTATACATGAAAAAATGTTAAAATTTATTAGGAAAGTCATAAATTTTGTTTGAAAAAGTAGCAAGTTTTGTGAAAAAAGGGGAAGTTTTGTTCGAAAAATAGAAAGGTTCTGGTAATGATATAGGAAATTTTACTAAAAAAGTGGTAAGATTTGTTAATGAAGTTATAAGCTTTTCTTGAGAAATCGTATGCTTTATATAAAAAAAATGCTAAGTTTTGGGAAAAAATGGTACCTTTTGCTAAAAAATCTAGTAAGATTTAGTAGTTAAATAGCAAGTTACAATAGCTAATAAAAGTTATTTGTTTTGTGCAAAAACTTACTATTAGTTATGCCAAATTTCTCTTTTTGCAATTTAAAATAATACAAAATGTTTGATAGAAAATCACCAAACCAATTGAAAATTTGTCAAATGGGAATAACAAATGTTTTGGGGTTTGAACCATTTTCATCTTTAAAGTTTCCTTGAAGACATATTTAGA